TGTGCGTGCATGACTCACAGGCCTGAATCGGACCGGTGAATAAAGGTCAGGGCCAAAATATGACCCAATGGACTGTTAGAATTTTGGGCCATTCCATGAGAACTGGGCCTTTTATCTCCGTAAGGACCATGGGATGGCTCGCCGAAAGCGCACACCCCATTGCAAGAGCATTTGTACTAACTTTTGGATGGTAATCATTCAACATTAATTGTTCTTGCTGCTTTTTAATTCGGGTGGTGTTAAAGTTTATTCAACGTATACTCAGATCCATTTACAATCGTACGTTCATATATAGCTAGGTTTGTGGCGTTTACAAACATATTTTTAGTTTCTTTTTTTACATTCTAGTTGTCCCAATAAATTATTATAATATTTTCTCGCTCACGAATCAGATTAATATTGAATCTTGTGTAAAAACATTTCTCCACACAAAAGGATAAATCTATGGGTGGTAACCCCAAGTGATGTGTACTGTGTTTAGTCAGTGTTGTATCGATCCATACATGTAACAGATCTAATCGTTCTATTTATTTATTATTCAGACCCGTTAAAATTAAATTAAAATTTTGATGATTCTTGTCAATTTGGTATTAAATTCATATATGATTTCTAAAAAGGATTTTTTTAGGTATGTGTACAATTTTTTAGACTTATTTGAGTAAAAGTATATGAATAAGTTGTTTACTCTATTAAATACAATTTTTATAAATTTTTGTGTTTAGGTACAAAATTCAAATGAATTAAAAACTTTTTTATTTAAACACTTTTCCTTAAAATTATGCAGTCATCATTGATAGTTATTTAAGGAAACAAATATATAAATATTAACAATAGTAATGAGAGGTAAAATAGGGGCATTAATGATTAAAACCCTTCTTCTTCAACAACAAAATTCTATGGCAATGAGATTTGATTAGAATGCCACAAATTACATGTGAATAAACACTGAACTTTTCCAACAAAAAAAAAAGAATTGACTAAGATGTTTTGTTAGATGTTATGTATTGTTCGTTGTTGGGTTGTAGGAAAAAAAGAATTTCTTTATTTTTTTTAATAGATGTAACTATTTTTTTATGAGTGTAACTATTTTTTTAATAAGTATAATTAATTTTTAATGGGTGTAACTATTTTTTAATAGGTAAAATAATTATAGTCTCATACAATTGTTAAGACGTGATTGTGTAATGATGTCACGATACTAAATAATGCAACTATTTAGTTTATGTAAACAACTGAATGATAAATTGGGTTACTATCATAATTTTTTGTAATTGTTTTATGTAGCTGTTTTATTTATTAGAACACATGAAGAACTGTTTGTAACTGACTGATATAATTAATTAGTATAATTGTATTGTTATAATGTTAATATAAATAAAGTGAGACAGAGAGACTATTAGAGAAAATATGTCTCTAGTTTACCTCTCATTACTTGATTGTAACTACAATATATTGAAAAAAATACAAAGGGTTTCAACCCATCAGCTATTCACCGAATGACAATATTTTTATTTTTTAAAAATATGTATTTTAGCTCAAATAAAATTTTGTGTTATATTTTTGCTCAATTAAATCTAAAAAATTATACCGACTTCTTGATCACTCTTCTAAAAAATGTCGTATCTACAAATAAGTCCTCCATTATTGGACCAAGTGGAATTCTAATTAGTCCACCACTTCTAGACTCCATGGACCTTCCTGGCTGTCCACCCACATGGACTTTTTGGCCCAAACCTCTACCGTCAAAAACTGTCATGATAGTTAGTGTGCTTGGAGAATAAACCTAGTCAACTATCGAGCTCATGCTTATACCGACTCTTCTTCCCAATGGTGGGTCCAATTTGTTTATGGATTAGGAATGCAGAGAAATTTGGTCGACTTGGTGGACTATATGCTTCTGCTTTTTGACATGGAAAATGTAAATAAATTTAAAAAATTGGCTTAAAAATTTGACTCGATGAATCACTATCGTTAAATATGTAATGAATCTCAGTAAATATTAAAACTAATAATTAAATTAATAATAAATATAACAGTCACATTATCAAATCAATTTTTTTATGTCTGTGTAGACATATTTTCATTCTTTCTGACTTTAATATGTTGGTGGTAAGAGCCCTTGGTGTGATCTTCAAAATACCCATTTGGGCCTTGGGGCTCGGTTATTTCTTCCATGTGAATCAAGTCTATTTATAGCGGAGAGTGTACTTTTGAGTTCATTTGTCAAAAAAAAAGTACAGTTTAACAGGGGAGAGTGGATTTTTGAGTTCATTTGTCAAAAAAAGTTTACGAAGTTTTGACATCGAGTCTTTTTTCCATGTAGAAAAGTAAATCGTTTGCTAAAATCAAAAACCAATTAATCCATACACGAAAGTTGATTCTATCAACCATAAAGTCTTCTACAGCTTTTGGGGTGCTTCGTGTTTGGAGGAAAGACTCATTTATTCTTGTGCTAGACGAAGTATGCTCGATGAATACTACAAAATTTTCAACAGAATTATAATAGAGCAGTCTTTTGTCTCAAAAAAAAATAAATATTATATATTTATCAGACACGTGATATTTAAATTCCTCTAAATCTTAACGGACTCTAGTGAGCTACATGCTCACTTGGTTATCTAACTAGTTAATCTCGAACAAGTATTTGTAACCAAAGATAATTTTGAATCGAGGTACAGTAGTTTGGTTTTTAATATCAAACAAAATACTTTACCAGATTATAGATCCAATTTTTTTTTTTTTGATCAGAATTATAGATCCAAACTTAAGTGGCATAATAGTATTACAAACTCTAAAATGCTATTAAAATTCACTTATTTATCTTATGAATCAATTTCGAGTGAATCACAGTCAAGTTTAACTTGACTTGTTTAGGAGAGTCAAAATTTTTACTTCATTAAATTTTTTATTATAGGATGTCCATGTTTGCCCAAATTATTTTTTCGAGTTCAAATACTAGTCAACGTACCCTGAACAAGTTTAGAACAACTCCCCTGAAGATAGGGCTGACAATCAAACTGAGCTTGTCGACTTTATTTTTTTAAACAGGTATAAAAAATTATTCAAACTCAACTCGTTTAGAAAATGAGTCGAGCTCGAGATGAGCACATAACAATTATTTTAAGTATAAACGAGCCAAACTTTGTGAACTCGGGCAGGACCCCTAAAAAATTGTTCAAGTTTAGATTATTTAGAATACGAGCTGAGCTCGAATCGAGTCTTATCTGAGTTGAACTTAAGTAGTCTGACTCAATTATCAGTCCTGAGAAACAAGGGTGACTGATCTTTATGATATATGAGAAATATTGAATTTAAGACCTTCAGATTATTAGTGAATAAACTCAACCGCTAAACCACCGTTCCTAATTACTTTACCTAGTAGTCAGCCTCTAGGAAAAAAAAGAGTCATCCTAATTGAGAGGAACATTCTAGTTTTAAGGAAAGGAATAAATGCATAAGCAACATTCTAGTTTTTCGGCTTAGTACAAGGACTTTAAGACTAGAACTGTTATTGACATTTCATCACCTTCATCGGATGACTTTCTTGGCTGTTCTTATGTTGTTGAGTGTAGACACTAGGCCACCGAAATATGCTCTTATCAATTGACCTTGTATTGACCTAACAGTCTCTCAAGTAGGGGCTTGGACCTACAAACTTAATTCAGCAAAAGTGATAGATGGGCCTCACTCTCAGTTAATAATCCCTTCTTTTCCAACAAATTCCATTCACACTTGTAATAATTATTGTAAATTAAGTCGATAAATTAGTTTAAATCTATGTATTACCAATTAAATTTCTGAGATTTTTTTTATTTGATTAATGAGGATAATTGATGTTTAAAGTCTTATCTCGGGCAAGCATACGAGAGGATGACAGGATTAGTTACTTTTATCTTCATTAAGCATGCTTGACTTTAGTTTTTTTGTCTTCTGCTGGGGTCTACTGGAGTGGAGCTTTTTGCGGGGAATCGGACTGGTGGAGGTTTGGAGATTTTTTTGGGGCGAAGAAGTTACCGCGAATTGTCCTTTACATCGGGAAAGATTTTAAATGAGTCAATGTGTCATTTTATACATCGGGAAAAATGTCGTTAGTGTCAATGTGTTAGTTTTTGATCAATGAAAGTTAATAGAAGAGTCATATTGAAATAATTTTAATATATTGAAGGTATGATGTAAAAAATTTAATTTTTGAGAGTATAAAGTGAGTAACTTACAATTTTTAAGGGTGCTAAGTGCAAAAAATTCTTTTTTTTTTTTTTATTTGGGTGAAGAAATTAGACGTCGGCATAGCGGAGTTTTGTGATTTTTCTTTTTTCACTTTGGAGGAGGTGGGTTGGCGCAACTGGGCTAGAGTTTTTAGGGGGGGGGGAGGTGGATTAGTGGAGGGAATGACGGGTAGATTGTTGACAGGGATCAACCCGGTGGGGTGCATGGTTCTCTCTGCTGGAAAAAGGAGGAAAAAGTTTGTTGTAGGAACTCTTTTGAGTGTTTAAGTGTACTTTTAGACAGTCTTTGCATTACACGAGGTATCGCCACTGTAGATATACAGAAGAATATAGTTTTGGTTTCTTTGTACCTTTGAAGTTTTTGATTCCATATTCATACTCATTGGTGAAATTTTTTTTTAAAATAAATATTTTTTTATTACCTTTTTGCACGTGAGTTTTTAGGGTTACTATCAAGTACCCGAGTTTAACCTTTACAGGAGAATTTTGTAATTCATTTTAGCCATTTGTCGTTCTTTTAAAAATATCTAAAATGGACAAAAGAAATATGTAAAAAGAGTATTAAGACTCAAATTTTACTTAAGAAGATGATTCTAGATTATTTGAACTCTATTTTTAATTGAAAAAATTATCCATTAAGCTATTTTAGTCATTTTAGCCATTTGTTATGAGCTTTTGACTAGGTGGTAGGGCCAATTCAGCAAACTGTAGCATTGACATATCAGTTGTAACCAACACGTTATCTTTTGAGATGGCCATCTATCTTTTTCAGGAGACGGGTTAAGGAAGGCAAAGATTAGTGTGTATTTCTCTGCGCTTTCTTCTTTGTTTCCTTCCCCATTTCTCTGAGGCTTGTCAATGAGAAAGCCAATATTCTTTTCTTCTGTAGTTTTCTCCGTGTTCCTATTTCTTTTCCCTTTTCTTGTATAAAGTGCTATTAGTTTAATCAAAACCCACCAAACTATATAATGAATGAAAGCAAAGAGAGTTCATAGTTTACTAATCTTCATCATTTCTTGAGATTCTGAATTTCTTGACTAGTGGGTGTTCAAGAGTCTCTCCATTTTTCTCTCTTTCTCTCTCTAACTGGGTTGTTTGGACTTTGGGGGTATTATCTGATGGGCAACTGCTTGGGTTCTTCAGCTAGAGTAGATGCAAGCTTGAGCTCCCTCACCACTTCTGGTACAAAATCTCTCTTTCTCTTTCCCTGAATATATGTTATTCAGCCAATCAAAACCCGGAAAAGACTAGAGAAGTAACTATACCTTTAGTATTCAAGCAATTATCTGTTTTTCGACCATGTGAAGAAATTTATAATTGCTTATACCTACAGCAAGATCATAACTTGATTGACTTTAGATTGAATGTTACAAACTGCCCAAATTGAAGTTTATTTGTCTTAAGGAGTAAATTTTGGTGGGTGCTCCCTTTTTTCTCTTTTTAAGTTTTTAGTGGTTGCTGTCTATTTGTGCTTTGTATCCAGAGTTCAGACTTTTCAATACCTTTTCAGATCTATCATCCTATGTTGTTGAGACTAGGTTGTCTTGAAAAATCATGAATTTGATGGCTTTTTTTCTAATCCTTTGCGATGAACAGTGATTTATAAAGAATGGGTTTCAATTTTCAGCAGTATTTATTGTTTAAAGGGTGCAAATTTTAATTGCTTCTGTCGGTATTTTGTTTGTTTATGCTTGGGGATTTCAGTTCATTAATAGATTGTCATTCTTACAAATAATTGATGATTTAATGAAATAAATGAAACACTAATGGCTTCAGGAAAGTTGGTCTTCGGGCTCAATGTTTCTGACTTTTTCATGCCAATTCATGACTTAATGGTTGACAATAAGCTCATCAAATATATGGCGTCTTAGTTTCAGAGACTATGCCAAACACACTCTGTCTGAGGGACAAAATTTGGGAGGATGTAACGCGCTGGACTCGAATTGTACAATATTGTCCGCTTTGGACTCGGCCCGCACTATTTTAAAACACATTGTGCAATAAAAGTCCAAACTCCAAAGCAACATCCACTTTCACTGGTCGAAGTGAGATTGAGTCATCACAATTCAACCCTCTTAAACACAAACGTCCTTGTTTGGGCCCTGCCTCGACATGGGTGATGTGGACTTCCGGGCCACCACACTAGCTGTCACCGTCCCAAGCCATTGCCCCGCCGATCAGGGTGCACTGAGTAGCTGATACCAACTGTAACTCCCAGGATTTGCATTGTGCAATAGTCCCCTTTGATCTAAGCCCGCACAGCTTTAAAGCGTGTTGTATAATAACGGTCCAACACTCACATTTATGTATCACTCCACATCCACTTCACTAGTCGATATGGGATTGGTCATTACAGAGGAAGATATAATAAGTGGTTGAAGAGATACCTGTAAATTTCATTTCTGTAAACCATGATGTGGAATGTCTGGTTAGTGGTAACCTTTGGGCCAATGAGATAGAAGCAAAGCCTGATGGGTAGTGGATTGGTGGACAGACAGCTTTCCATATTAGAAAGCCACAGGATGTGTTTGGCTTAGTTTGTTTTCGTGCAAAACAGGCCACAAATATCATCTCTTAAGGTCATGCTCACGTTTTATAGTAATGACATGGAATCCAAATTAATTAGGGAAAAAAAAGTTACAATTGTTGACATTCTTCTCTGTGTTGTAAGGACTCTGTATTCGAGTGATACATCTTTATGTAAGCTCCCTTGTGGAAAGGATCTGAAGAACTAATCCAAAGTTTGTGTCATAGATTGCATAATGTTTTAAGTCACTTGTGAAAGCTTGATGTCGTTGCTTAACTAATTTATATAACTGCCAGCTTCAGAAGCCTCAAGAATTGCCAGCAAAACCAGCAGCTCTTTACCTCGTTCCACCTTGACCATTCCATCTTACAAAGAAAAAAGCAGTCCTAGGAGTCTTCCCACTCCAAGATCGGAAAGTGAAATACTGTCATCCCCAAATGTTAAATCCTTTTCGTTCAATGAATTAAGAAATGCGACCAGAAACTTCCGTCCTGACAGTCTTCTTGGCGAAGGAGGATTTGGTTGCGTTTTCAAAGGATGGATTGATGAACATACACTTACTGCTGCAAAGCCTGGATCTGGAATGGTCATTGCTGTCAAGAAGCTTAAACCTGAAGGTTTTCAAGGGCATAAGGAGTGGTTGGTATGTTTCCTTTTTGTCATATTTATCACTTATATTCACTTTTGTTGTCTGGCCCGGTTAATGACTGTCAATACTTTGCAGACTGAAGTTAATTATCTTGGGCAACTTCACCATCCAAATTTGGTAAAACTTATTGGTTATTGCTCAGAGGGTGACAACAGGCTGTTGGTGTATGAGTTCATGCCTAAAGGCAGCTTGGAGAATCATCTTTTCAGGAGTAAGTTTCACGGTCAAATGTACATTTTTTCAGAATGCCCAACTGTTAAGCATCCCTTCTTATTCTATGTTCTTAAAACAATCCTTAATGTAGGCCGTTTCCAGTTGAGACAAGTGCCCCAATATCCTTCCTACCTTTTGTCTACTGTTTGTCATCCCTCTGCCCAGCACTCCCTACCCCCTTCCTCTCTTCCCGCAGAAGTGTGATGGAATTTTAACTATAAAAATTGTCAGAACATCAGTAAAGTGCCCTCAAAATTATCTAAAAGGAGAGTCCTTGGCTGAAACTATGCAGAGTACAGATGGTACATAGCGACCCCTATCTTCCTTACTCCAAATTTGTTAAGAAATCCATGCATTTATTACATTGGCAACATCAAATTCTAATATGGCATTGATGACTTAAAGGAATATAGGCAGTCTCTGCTGGAGGAGCATTTTTCTTCATGTTTTGGCCATCCAAATAGAGTTGGATTGATCACAAAGCTTCATTACAATAACTAAGTTGTGACTCTTATACCATGTTAATGAATGGTCCTGATGACAATATATGTGATTTCAATTGATTTTTTGCTAGATTTCTTTGATTGGCCCTGAGATATTTACAACACATGCACAATTATGGTTACAATGTCATGGCGAGAAGGGTCTTTAGATTATTTTCACATGACTAAGGCAACGGGCTGATTTTTTATGCATTTTTTTCACAGGAGGGCCTCAGCCACTTTCTTGGGCAACAAGGATCAAAGTGGCCATCGGTGCAGCTAGAGGCCTCTCTTTCCTGCATGATGCTGAAGAACCAGTCATATATCGTGATTTCAAAGCTGCTAATATCCTCCTAGATGCGGTATGCTGAGTAAAAGATATGCTTTTTTTCTTTGCTTTGAAATTCATAGGGTATAAATTTGATGGAATTGTTCTTGTCAATTATAATACTACGTATTGTAATTAACCAGCCTAGGATGCAGGAATTCAATGCAAAGCTATCTGATTTTGGTTTGGCCAAGGCTGGGCCTACTGGTGATAGGACTCATGTGTCCACTCAAGTAATGGGCACACATGGCTATGCAGCACCAGAATATGTAGCCACAGGTCGTCAATAGCCCATTATACAGTGCTATCTTATTTCAATATGCTGAACTAGCTTCTGTTGATCTGAACATGACATTGACTAAAGCGCTCTCAAATAAACAGGTCGATTGACAGCAAAAAGTGATGTCTACAGCTTTGGGGTTGTTTTGCTAGAACTATTGTCTGGACGACGTGCTATTGATAAATCAAAAGTTGGTATAGAGCAGAATCTTGTGGATTGGGCAAATCCATATTTGGGTAGCAAACGAAAAGTTTTTCGGATTATGGACACCAAGTTGGAAGGCCAGTACCCCCAGAAAGGAGCCCATATGGCTGCTACACTTGCTTTGCACTGCCTAAGTACCGAACCTAAGGTCAGGCCACGGATGGCTCAGGTGTTAACGATACTAGAACAGCTTCAAGCCCCCAATCCAGCCAAAGACTCCCAACCAGCACATCAGACTGTTTACAGTCCTGCCTGCAAGTCACCTTTGGGCCAACACAGATCACCTCTGAATCTGACACCGTCAGTTTCCCCCTTGCCATCACACCGGCAATGTCCACGTGTACGATGAGCCTGAGGAATTTATCATTCAGTAGGGTATTTTGTTGTCAATTTTGTTTTTTACTTTCTATCTTTTCTTGTTTATATTCCTATCTTGATGTATGGGCTTATATTTTCACAAAAATAGTACAATCTGCAGAACATAATGTCACCATATATATTCCCTGAGTTTATTAAGCTCCTTCATTGGTAGTAATCATTTTTTTTTTTCTTGTTTTAACTTGTCTATACCTGATCTGTGATTATTTTTTTCCCAATTCATCTTTGTGATTTGATATGGTCCATTTTAGCCCAACTTGTAAGTATCATTTGCTAAGTGTGTAGAATGTAGGCGCTCGCACCTTTTCTTTTTGAAGGTAATATTCCCCCCCCACCCCCCGCGCGCGCGCGGGTGCGTTTGTATATAAAGTAACTGTGGAGGTCGTAAACCTCTTAATTTGGAAGTATTGGCTGGTTTAATGCTCATACCAATATGGCAGAGCATTTGAACATGCTTGAGCGGACATTGGTTGAATCTGGACCCTATTCGTGGGAAATATACAATTTTTTTTGACATTCTTATTGCTTAAAGAACAATTGGAATGTAAGTGAAGCACAATTCTAAGCTCTAAAGCATCTCACATTTGTGACCTACAAGATTAATGAGCTAGATTATATTAGTTATAAGTAATTGAGACCGAAGGCGTGTTTGAGGGTTTGAAGTAATGCTGATTGAGTTCTGATTCCTGCTATTCATCTTCCGCTCAAGCTGTTCCAGACAACTCAACACTTCTGTCATTGTTGGCCGGGATTTTGGATTCATGTCGAGGCACCAGAGTACGATTTTTGCAAATTCACGAGCTTCTTCAATATGAAAGTTCCTTCTGAGTCTCTTATCGATTATACGATGAAGTTTTTGCTTGCAGTTGAGGTTTCTTATTGCCCACTGTGCAAGTTCCCCAGCACCTCCATCTACATGTCTCTTAACTGCAGCAGAGCCAGTGAGGATCTCTAGTAGCACTACTCCAAAACTGTATACATCACTTTTTAGTGTTAAATGGCCTGTCAAATGAAGAACATATCAACCATTGTGGAGCTATGGAATGTCCTCATAGATGAAAAGAACAAAAAATTGATCTGTTTCAAACTATATTGCTTCAGAAAATAGATCGATTAGATAGCCTATTCTCCTCCTCTAAGTGTGCTAATAAATAGAAGCAAACCAAGCATGAGACTGTTTGTGAATTTGTTTGTTCCAAAAGAGTGTTAGGGATCGACTCGAGCAAATGGCCAACTTCAAACATATTGGTCAAGCTTGGGAGGTTAAACAAATCGAGCTCGAGCTTATCTTCAAGTTTAACTCGAGTTCCAATCTCAAGCTCGATGCATTATACATATATATATATAAATTGAGCTTAAGCTCGAATCATGTATTGAACAAGCTATAAAATGAGAGCGAGTTCGACTTGTCTATAAAATTAGCTTTAAAATTGAGTTCAAGCTCCGTTCATTTAACTAGTTTCTATCCAAACCAATCCCAAGCTCTTTGGGAAAAAAAATTCATTTGCAGCCCTATCCTCCACCTCTAAACAAGGAAAAATAACATAATTTTTATGACTACTGAAGTGTACCTGTTGCTATGTACTCGGGAGCGTAGTAGCCTCGAGTGCCAAGGATCCTGGTAGAGATGTGTGTCTTGTCACCTTGGGGGCCAAACTTAGCTATTCCGAGATCTGAAATCTTGGGAGTGAAGTCCTGCAAATATCACCCCTACTGTGATTTTTTCTTTATTTTTTTTTTTCTTCTATCAATGGAACTGCAAAAAACTATAGTTTAGCATTATGGTAATATGTTGAAGGATATAAAACTCAGTGCACGAGACTCTTTTGTTAGTACAGAGTCTAAAGAGCGTTAAATATATGTAGACTTATCCTACATGTGCATGCCAATAGATTGTTTCCATGACATCCAAATTATAACTAAGCAACCTTACTGTGGTGTTAAAGACAACATTGACTATAATTATTTATAATGATAAGTATAAATGAGTGAAAACCTCAAGAGATAATTCAAGTGGTAACAGAAATAAGCTATAAATTTAGACGTCATGAGTTCGAATCTTGACAATCCCTTGAAGTCAGGACATGAATACCCTAGTCCGACGTAAATAACTTATCTTTGACCGTATTTAAAAGGGAATTAATCAAAATGCGCATAAGTTGATCCGAACACCCCTAATCGTTGAACAGAAAAAACAAACAAGTATGAATGAATGAAACTAACATTGTCAAGAAGAACATTGAATGACTTAACATCGCGATGAATAATTGGACTTCCAAATCTATAAATGACCATAGATAAGTGAAATTAACATCGTCAAAAAGAATACTAGACGACTTAACATCACAATGTATGATTGGCGTTCCATATCACTATGAATGACCATAAATAAAATGAAACTAACATTATCAAGAAGAATATTGGTCGGCTTAATATCGCGATGAATGATTGGCCTTCCAGAACTGTGAAGATACTCCAATCCCTTGGCTGATCCAACAGCAATTTTTATTCTCCTTCTCCAATTTAGCTCTGTATCCCTTTCTGCTTATGTCAAACAACAATTCTTCACTATGGTTCCAGTTAGTAAATGTTCATACCCAAATTACACAGCAATTGGAAATTGTTTCAATGTAAATGTCTAATGCTGCTGGTGCTTATTACCTTTCAAAAGATTGGTTTCCAAGTTTCCCTTAGGCATGTACTCATACACTAAAAATTTGTGCTTAATGTCGGAACAGTAACCTATGAGCTTCACCAGATTTGGATGGTTAAATCTGCTCAAAAATTTTAGTTCATTCTGCAAGAACAACGATATTTCAAAGTTTCAGGTGAACAAGTGAAGAAGTATATATAACACATCGACCCCCATTATACAATATTATCCATTTTAAGTTAGGTCACATAACCATATGATAAGATTCGATTATCATAATCTATCCCCTTAAGCCCAAACATTCTTGTTTCGATCCAACACCACCCTAGTTGATGTGGGTTTTCAAGGCTACTATAGTCTAAAGCTCCTGCCACTAGACCAAAGTTGTTTAGAGTATTTTCGATCCTTATTTTTTTTTTAAATCTAAATTTAAATTAGGATAAAAAATTCTTAAAAATATTTTTCAATGCTAGATTCATATCTATATCAAATTAAGAGAGATTTTTTTTTTTGCTCAAATCAAGCGAAACTCAAATTTATACCTAAATCTTTAATTGTGAGATTATCTTCTCATTTTAAATATTCAAAGGTCATAGTCTACCTTCATTTAAATTTAAGTTTATTCTTATTTAAATTTGAATTTTTTTTCTTTTAATTTTAACTTTTTATATTAGAGAGGTTTATATCAAATCAAATTTTTTAAATTTTCTTTTCTTTACTCATATTTAAATAAGAATTTGATATTACATTAGAGATAATCTTAAATGACATCCACATCACTAGGCCAATGGCTTCAATACCAAATGTATAGTCTCAACCATCACTTTGTGACAGTCGTGCACGACTTTAAAACACGTCGGATAATGAAGATGCAAAACTTACGCTCATGACCCGAGAGCAACCAACATGCACGCACACACATACCAACACTCATTCACAGAGAGAGAGAGAGATAGAGAGAGAGAGAGATCCTAGACCTCCCATTCCTCTTGGCCTTGAGCTCCTTCCTTTCTGAGCTTCTTTACTGCAATTGGGTATCCATCGCCTGGTTTTGCAGCATTCATGGTGCAATAATGGATCCATCCTTTATATACCTCGCCGCAGCCACCTCGGCCTAGTAGATTCTTATCACTGAATCTCTGGGTGGCAATCTTCAGAGTATTATAGCAAAAGAAGTTGAGCTTATAGGACTGAAGCACCTGATCAGCTTTCATGCTCATCTTCAAGGAATCATAAGTGCCATATCTCTCATCTTTCTTAAGAAAAAAAAACACAAAATCAACATCACTAAATTGGTAAAAAAAAGTATTCGAGAAACTTCATACCTTTTCGTATATTCAAAGAAGCCGGTCCAGAATGAGAAATTTGAATCTCATCGACTCCTTCAATGAAAGCAAACAAACAATACATTTCATGTCTAAATGGTTTATCTATATGAAGGTTTTCCACAAAGAAGATTCAGGATTGAAAAGTATGATAAATATGCATACCTTTCTTGGTATTTGAAGGAACCAACGAATTTCTCTCCTGCAGTACTGGTTTTGAAGTTTCCCCAGGATGAGAGATTTGAATTCCATTGATTCTTTCTGTAAAACCAAATGATTGAAAATGATCACAACAACAAAATTGGTTTTTTAGCAGCAAACTAACTCGTCGCAAAGGTATAAATTGGGTCCCTAAAAATTTTCAACTACAAACTTATTTCGATTGAAAAATGATCACTATACAAATATGATTTTTAGCAATAAACTAACTCATCCCAAAAATATAAATTGGATCAAACTCAGTTCATTGCCCTTTTGTGGCCTTAGGGTCAACAAAATTCTTTAGAATTTGAAAAATTATAGAAATGAAGTGTAAATCTAAACGTTAGGAATTCAAATTTTAGTAATTTTTTAGAATTAAATTATGAGGAATTTATCTCTTATAAACACCTTAGTTCAGTGGACAAGTAACGAAATTAGTCGAGGTGAGCGTAAACTAGCTCAGATATTCTAACTATTAAAAAAAAAAAGTAAAGTATGTAACTAAGAAAAATTACACACCATCCCGTGTGTTTAAAGAGATTGATGAAGATGTCTTCCCAAGTGGTTTAGAAGATTTCCCTTGATTGGGGAAGCGGATCTCATAGACTCCACCTGTGAAATCAAACATATAAAATTAATTGTTTAATTTAATATGTAAATAAATTACTATCCAAAGAACATTTTTACCTTTCTTTGTATGTAAAGAAGATAAATTCTTGTCTCGAAGAGTTTTAGAAACTTTCTGGGGATGAGAAATTTCGATCTCATTGAGCCCTTCCACGTGAAAAACAGTTAAAAATTATAATTTCAGTAATGCATCATCAAATTTCAAGTATTAAATTCTTGCATCAACTGAAAAATATATACTCTTCAGCCCCCATGATAAACCTGTGGGAGGTTGAGCAATGCCAACTGGTTCGTCGGGTTGTTGAAGACACTTCTGAATACAATTTCCCATGGTTAAAACTAATAAACTCATGCAAGAAGAAAGCCAGAAGCATTATGAGGAAGGAGAGTTGGTTATATATACAGTGGTAATAACTATGCAACTTTGTTAAAGTATTTGTGGTGAAGATGACAATGAAAAAACTTAGTAGAGAGTTTTAAAGGAGTATATTCTACTAAACAAGCAGCATTATAGGCGATGTTCATTAGGCTAAAAGTTTGGCAGTATAAGTTATAATAGCGACGAACTATAAACTCAAACGTCTTGATATCGAATCTTCATAACCTCTCGGGGTCAGACATTGAAGATTTATTCTTTATAAATACTCTAGTTTCGGCATAAATAATCTGTCTTTTACCGGACCTGGGAGGAGATTAATCGAGATGCGTATAAGTTGGTTCAAAGACCCCTCACATGGGATGGCATAATCAGATAAGCACCGGACGGATCAGCTCATCTGATGATTGCAGTTCATTTTAGTTCTAAACTAAGTGTAGGACTAGGATGTTTATGTATCATTTTTTGCAACGGTTTTTTGGATTTTTTGGGAAACAATTAAATTATTAGTTGTTTATTGTTATTGCTGGCCTTTTTGAACATTAATTATATGTGGGGCCAGCTGGGAGATTTTTTAACAATATGTTTGTGTTAACAATCACTAAAATGAAGATATTCCAGGAATCTGTTTTGTTCATTTGATGATAATGGTATGATCTGCTAAAAACAAAAGTGGTTAAACAAGGGATGAACTGGAAATTTGTAGCATCTGAATTCAACTTTGTTGGCTGCGAGTTTAACCGAAGAACGGGTAGCCAGTGGATACATGTATTCGGGATTTACGTGACAGTACTGAGTCCAAAAGATGCATGGTTGGGACAAATACCCGTAAAAAACAACCAAATGTGATTTATCTGGTAATCTTTTCCTTCAGCTGCCTCCTCTTTTGTCTAGGATTGTTTGGGTCAATATGATTACTAGTTAAGATTACAACATATTTCTTGAATGTTTTGCTAGTTCTAATATGATAATTCTGTTGGGACGGCCTCTAATCTAATTGTGTGTGGGAAACACAAACACCAATGTATTTTGGTCTACGTTACACCAACCAAGATCATTTAACCATTAACCTGTAAGACATATTGCTAGTAACAATAATAAGGGAAAATTATACGTAGATCCCTTGAACTCTACCCCTTGTTTCACACTGTCCCCTAAACTCTTCGCTTGCTCACATTGCACCTTAAACTACCGGTCATACTTCTCATGGAAAATCATATCAACAATGGAATCCCATGTTGTTAGGAGATCTGGGATTTCCTTACTTAGCTGAGCGGAATTCTATTTTCACCCTGATTTGTCATGAAAAATTGGACAAAAGCCAATGATTCGAGCAATATGAAACTCAAAACCAATAATTTAACATGCAATGTATGGAAGATAGTTTAGTGGACAATATGAAATGCTGGTGTAGTTTAGGGAGACCTAAGCATAATTTACTCTAATAATAAAGGACTTACAGTGTGAAGTATGAACAAGAAGAAATTGTAAGATGACCCCCATTTTTTTCACTTGGTAGTATCAAATGAGCCCAGGAGTTCCCCCAAACACTTCAGTAGGGAGTAGTATCCTCTAGGCAGAGAAAAGAAAAGCCCCTAGTGAAGTGTTTAAGGGGAACTCTAGGGAACACCTGATCTTCCTTCAATGCTTCTACTTTGTTTGCTTTGGTAAGCCCTTGCCTAGAATCCTCACTATTTATAATGTGTTGTTGCCTTCGCAAATAGTCTAAGTGTTCAGGCTCAGAATAGAGATATTCAACAAGCCAAACCCTAGGAGGATGTACCTAGTCGCGAATTCGGGGTAGATGAAAGGAATAGAATCATAGGTGAGTTGAGTGGTCCTGTAAATCCTATCCTTTTTCATTATGTAGTATCTTTGGCCTCTCATTTTTCAGATTTTCTTGTAAATATAAAGCTCTCTGAATCTCAGAAGTTGGTATTGCAATTTTATGTTTGTTTCATGCACATGTAATGCAAGGTCCAGAAGCAACTTTATGTCAAGTTGATTGCAATGGCAATATTCATGTGGGCGACCTTGATTTCTTGACCAAAACCTAATTTCATCGATGTTAAATAACTAATCTTTACTTAGGCGGTCTTGTTTGTGACGTGTGTTTCCTGGGATCGAATTTCGGAAACATTTTGTGTAAGATAAGTGTTGGGATTTAACAACAATTTAAATCCACTAACAAACACACACAATCGAAGAACAAATCAAGAATATAAAGCAATAAAAAACAAGAAAGAACAAGACATAGATTTTACGTGGTTCAGCAATTTGCCTACGTCCACAAAAGTGCAGGGATTTCACTATTGAGAGAGTTGAATTACAGAGAGCGGTTGTACAATCCACCATATTAACCCTAATCACCAAAACACCGGGTTTTATATGTCCTACACACTGAGCTATATAACGGGCCCAAAATTTTTTTCTTGGGGGCGTTGTCCCCAAACCCCCACGAGACTTATCCATGAGTGCTACGACTTGGGCCTATCGGCCCCAAGCCTTCGCTCCATGGACTAAGTCTCAAAAAAATTTCCATTAAAAAATCACACAACATTACTTCAGGTCGGGTTATCATTCAGATCACATATACAAACTAGACTCTACAAAAAATCAACAATAAGATTGCATATATTTGACTCTCTCAAGTTCTTGCACTTCGTAGTGAAAAGAATCTTAGCTTGTACACTGAACTATGATTATGAACAATAATTATCATTACTTAAAACTAGTTAAGCAGAGTCTAAGATACCATGGAGTAGTGCATAAGCACATGGACTTAGGTAAAATGTACTTGTGTCCATAACCTAATGGCTCTCAATCTAAAAAGTAGGGGTGTCAATTTTTGACTTGAACACAAACCTGACTCGAACCGAATCTGACACGAACCCGAAAATAACACGATTAGTTGACACGAGTAATAAATAAGTCAAATTAAGGTTTTATACGAATAACACGATTAATGAGTACTGTAGATAGAAAATAATTATTTAATGAGTATTGTAGAACGAAAATAAGAATTTTATAATTTTTTAAATAGTATTATATTAGTTATTGTCAAATTAAATAATTTTTTATTAACACGAATATTGACACAAACCCGACACATACCAAAAGTGATACGACACAAAAATAACACGATCGAAAGTGAGACGACACAAAACTGATATGACACGACACGACACGATTGACACCGCTACTGAAAAAGATAGAACTTAGAGATGAAAGAATTGAGAGGGAGAGGAACTTTTGACCACTTCCCAAATTATATTCTCTACCCCTCATCTGACATATAATTCTGACCAGGTTCAATCATCGATTTCTGAACATTCGATTACTTTCGTATCTCTTTCCTCTCAAATTGCTATATGCACTTGTAGAGATCACACCATTTCTAAACTGAAATAAACATACAGACTAATACAATACGTATAGCAGAAGACTGCATGACAAATTTAAACTATTGAAAACAGAGTTGATCGGGTGCCAATTAGGGTTGATCCTAGGTGACATCAACCCCATGACACTGGTTGATGTGTTTTTGGTACTTGTTCTGCACTAATTCATGTTTCTATGTTTTAAGTCTATGTATCGTTACTCATAATATTAACAATGTATTACTTTATGAAAAATTTCAGTGGTTAATAACAACTTTTCTTGCTGTTGATATTTATTGGAGGGATAAAGGCTAACTTTGCTGATGATAGTGTGACTTTATTATGTTGATATTATACGAGAGTAGTACTAGGATGGGTGATCTCCTGGAAAGTCAAGCCATCACAATCGATAATAATATGCGGTTAGAAGATGTGACACTCTTGTTACATTCAGCTCCACCCTTGTAGTTGGGGGAATACTTGGTCCGAACCTACCTCGACTTTGATATTCTCAATAAGTGACCAACACAACTGGTAGGGTTGTGCAATTTCTAACTTGATCTAGTACCATTTGTCACGTTCGTGTAATTCAAAAGCTTAAGTTATTAAGTGAAAAGCCGACTAAAATCTTAAAACTCCATGTCACCCCTTACTCAATTGATGTAGAGCATGACATTGCATGTTATTCTCTATGTATACATACGTATTAGTTATTATTGAATTATATCTATTGATATGTGTAAGAAATATTATGAACATATTATCATTTGTGTAAGATATATCACATATTTCATGTGGTTATAGAGTCAATTATGAAGAGGTATGATGATTGAGATAGGCAATTTTTATGTCAATTACTAGAGTGAGAAATCATGACAAAATTAGAAAAACTAGGAAAACAGAAAATAAGAAGAAGAAAAGAAACAGAACCAACTAGAAACTGACTCTTGACATTCATAAAAGATTATGAAAATAGAACAAACTTCCTGTAAATGAACCGAATTCGAGCTTGGGCTTATGTTCGAAATTAAACTCAAGTTCAGGGTCATGTGAAGATTAAATTTGGCTTGCTCATACAAATGAATAGTAATTTATTCCATAATATCACACATTTATTCTACACAAATTGTATCTAACTTCAAACTGAGGGCCAAATAAAAATACTAATTAATTAAAGTTGTCAAAACTATAAAGGGTCAAATAATAAATCCCAAAAAATCAATACACAAGGCGAACTAATTATCATCGCGCTTAAATGACCTCTAAAATTGAATTTGAACTCAATCCATTTGATTAGTGCAAGTAGGGTAATCAAGCAGGCCAGTGATGCACTTGATAGAGCTAACACAAATGTAAACAGATCCATCTTCTTCAAAATAAGCTGAGTAATGAAGAGATTCAGTGGATTCTGGATTTTCATAAACTTCATAGTTATTAGAAGCCCTTATAAGAACAGGTTGCAGTAATCTAGCCATTTGGTAGATTTTTCTTGTCATGCATGTGTTTTTAGGGCAATGTTATATGTTAGCCATTAGATTAATAATCAGTTACAAGACTCTCAACATTAAATAAAGTCTATTGTGATCATCGAATAAAGTTTGTCAAGTTTGGTACAATATCATTGTTGGAATTTTCAATTAATAACAAAATATATTCTGTCGAAGATCTTCAAACAATATTTATTGAAGAATGTAAATTTTGATTCTCTTTACAATATTTTTCTTCAATTTCTTTCAATAGTAATTGATAATCGTGATTACCTTATAGATATCCAATAGAATTAGAAGGATACAGGCACACAAGTTTACTCTAGATTAGGTCCCCAAATTAAGTTCAAATAGTATTTTCCTTACTTGAAATGGTCGTACTTGCCCATTTGACAATTGAATATGGTACCTTCCTTTGGAATAGTTCAGAGTCCTCGTCGAACAAGCATGCATGACCATTTCAAGTAAACTTTTTTTTTTTTTTTTGGGATAGCATCGCAAGAGTACTCCAACACGACATCACACTATGAGGAGATTAAACCCGATACATCCAATGCCACACAAAATAAGAACAAATTATAAACTCAGACGTAATGAGTTTAAAAGTTGACAATTTTCTTAAAGTCCGGCTATGAATGATTTATTCTTTATTGATTTTTTAACTCGGACATAGATGCTCTATTTTTGACCGAACAAAAAAGATGATTAGTTGATGTATGCATAAATTGATTCGAACACTTTGACCGTGATATTAAAAAAAAATCTAATGCCACAACCCTGATGGACGTCAGGTCCAATTTAAAGTAAACTTAGCTCAAAGGGAATCATTAGACAAAGAGGCACTGTCATCTTTGAATAGAATTTTCTAAAGAGTAGACCAACTACTTCAACATTTTCAAATATATATTCGACTGTTCATGCCAAATGATGATGAGCAGCATATATCTCAATCAACATTTATTTATTTGCAACAAAGTGATGAAGTTTTTTTTTTTTTTAAAAGTATATTGAATTAATTTTCAAATGTATACAAACATTGTAAATCTGTACCAATGCAATAAAACAAATATGATAGTTGAAATATCCAAACCAATTCTAAAAAATATATTCTTTGTCTGGTCTGCCTCAAAAAATGCAAATAGTAATTCTACAAACCTGTTTAATCAGTGTTTTGAATCCTTTTTTAAGTGGTTTAGCTACCATGTGAACTCAAATACGATTGTAAATAAGTTTGATAATTTTCAAAATATCAAATACATTTAACGAAATAAATAAAATTAATACTGACTAATACTTAACACAACACGACATTGTCATCATCCTTGGTGCCGTGTGTGTATATTGTAGAATATATTCTCAACTTGCCAATCCATGGCTTTTACATTCATCAGAATCAATCTTGTCTCTCTAGTCATCCTTCTCTGTTGGTTTATAGCAGTGGACAATACAGTAGCAGAAGTAAGAAGTCCTTCTCCCTCAATCCACTCATCTCTCTTGCTTTTATCTCATTACTGTATTATTTCTAAAGCTTAGCGTTTTGTAGTTTTTTTTTTAACTATAACTGGTCTCTTTATGGCTTAATTCAGTGGTTTAATTATGGCGGCAACATAACTAACCAGGGGATTGCTGATCAACCCAACAGACATATCTGCAACACCAGCGGTGGCAAATGGGGCAGTGTACTTCCCATCATGGAATGGATATTTGTATGCAGTCAATGCCTTCAATGGTACTCTTATATGGAAGCAAAACGTCGGCGAGTTAACTGGGTTGCCGGGAACCGGGACTGTGGTGAACGTGTCGGTGTCTAGAGCCACTCCGACGGTGGCCGGAAACCTTTTTTATAGTCGGAATTTATGGACCTGCGGTGGTGATTGCCGTCTCACGGTGGACTGGAGAGCTTGTTTGGTCGACTCGGATTGACCCGCGTCCTCTAGTTCTCGTCACTGCTTCTGGAACAATACACTTAGGGTTTGCTTTCTCTCTCCTATCCTTCTTTCATCCTTTTAAAAGTTGAGTAATGTTATTAGAATCTAATTTACTGACTTAATTTACTATAATCTTTGGATTAATTGTAGGGCCCATCAAACATTGGAACTTAATATTGATCCAATAGTTCTACTATAACTACATTATTATGTTAGTAAATTAAGTCAAATTTTTAAATTCAAATAGTATTACTCTTAAACGTTTACATATGATAATAGTTCTTGGTGAGTTTTCGGTGTTGTATTTACTGTGGTAGGCATTGGTGAAGTTTTTTATATTTAAAAAAATTAAACAATTTAGTAAAAATAAGGGTAAATATCATAATTCGTTATTAAAATTGACATCCAAGTTCAATTTGATTCTTGAACTTTTAATTATTTCAATTTAATTATTCAACTATCAATCTCATTTCAATTAAATTCTTTAGTTTGTATTCACCGTTAAATCAATCAGTGACTAGTTCAATCCGGTCCAAGTGTTATATGTGTTTATTATTTTGATCTAATGGTAAATGTGGGTAAAAAAAACTTGATTAAGATAAAATTGATGGTTGATGAGTTAAATTGAAATAACTGAAAGTATAGAGATCAAATTAAAACCACAGACAAAATTTAGAAACCAATTTTTACCATAAAAAGAATTTTATATAAGATTAAATCAATTAATTTTGTTCATACCATTTGAATAGTCCAATCGGCGATGGATGTTAATTAAAATTGAGACCCCTTTAGGCATTCATGACATTTTCTGTTAGCTATCATAAGGACCATTTCAACTCAAATTATAAAGTATAGGTTGGTAACAGATATATTGGTAGTTTATAGACCAAATAAGCAATAATTCATGCATACTTGAATGACGACGTTTTGTGGATTAAAGTGACAAAATTAGAATATTTGAGACGGGTGCACATTTTAATTGTATTTTTCAAGTATTAACGTCTGCTAAGGTAATTATTCTGCATAAATATTTCTAAATTAATACAAAAGAAGTATCATAACTCTTGTCCAACACCATCACTCACTTTCCTAATTTTAAACTTCTAAGAAACCCTACTAGCCAACCTATGTTGCACTTTCCGGGGCAGCATGGTGAAGCTAGATGTTATCAAGTTTAATTTTTAAGTACTAATGTTATTAGGACATAATTTATGGACATAATTTGGGGACATAATGAGTTGTCACCAATAAAATGATAGTGAAATATATTTAGAGCAATGCTATTGGGAAATAATTTGGGGACATAATGCGTTGTCACAAATGATATGATAATGAATTCGTTAATGCTACAATGAGACTTATCATTAAATGCATTTCACTATCATATCATTGGTAACAACTCATTATGTCGCAAAATTATGTCCTTCAATTATATCCCAATAGCATTAGTGATATATTTAATTATGGATCTCATTTTAGCATTAAATGAATTCACTATCATTTTATTGGTGACAACGCATTATGTCCTCAAATTATGTCACAATAACATTGCTCATTTTTAAGTCTATTTTTTAAATTCATGTAGCATTACTCTTTCCAGATAATGGTGGCAGACTAGGAGGGTACGCGGGGGCAGCTATATGGGGAAGCATCCCCGCCATCAACATTGCCAGGGGGATTGTTTACTCGAGCACTGGCAACCTCTACACGGCTCCACCGGAGGTGTTGCGGGGTCAGGAAGCTCAGAATAATCAAACAAGACCCAGTAGTCCTGATCGGTGCATTGGACCAGATGTTAATTTCAACTCAATTTTGGCGTTTGACATTGGTTCTGGAAAGATTGTGTGGTCTGAGCAACTGGGGGGCAATGATATTTTTTATTTTGCATGTTCGGTTCCTAATAATCCTGATTGTCCACCGGGACCTATTCTGGATGCGGATTTTGGGAAGGCTCTGATGCTGCTAAGCATATTTGTCAATGGAACAATGCGAAAGTTGGTGGTAGCAGTGCAGAAAAGTGGCTGTGCATGGGCTCTTGATCGTGACAATGGCAATATAGTTTGGTTTAAGGTAAGTACATATTTGATTGTTGGGTATGGGATCACGATGCCCTAGTGTTTTCTTTACAAGGGTAGTGTCAGCCGACTCAACGCCTAGGACGAATCGTCCTAGTGGTAGTGGGCTGTCCTCCACAACCCTTAGGAATATAAAACGTATACGAATTCCACTTTATTACCAGATTTTCCTTACAAGGGTAGTTTTATGCAGCTATTGCAAAGCTTTGTGGGTGAGCAAAATTACCAACACATGAGTGAGATTAACAGGTAATGTTAGAGTGACAAAAAAGTGGGACTTGATAATATGGTGCTCGCACGGCGGGGCTAACTAAGCAAAACGTCAATTTGGTGCTTGATTTTTGGACCTAAATTTTGTACCTCTTTTTAAATTTCTACGAAACAAAATTTTGAATCTCGTTTTGAACATCGATTTGGCGGTGGTAGTCTTACATTTTTGTTCAGAATTTTTTGAATTGGTTGCTACTGTCACACTAGTACCACACCTTTTTGGTCACAATTTTTCTTCTTATTTTGTGTCACTGTAGCATATTATAGCCCTGCTTGATTTCTCCATACTGAACTGGTTATTAATTCAATAAGAACTTTACTATGAATTTTGTAGTTGGCTGGACCAGGGGGCAATGAAGGAGGAGGGACATGGGGTGCAGCCACAGATGGAAAGAGGGTATACACAAACATAGCCAACAGCAACAGAGAGAGCTTCACACTTGCACCATCAACCCAAACCACAACAGCAGGTGCATGGGTGGTCCTGGATGCAAACACTGGCCAAATCCTATGGTCCACTGCAAACCCTAGCAATGACATGTCGCAGGGGCCTGTTTCATTGGCTGACGGAGTCCTTTTCGCCGGCTCTGTGGCTCCTAATGGCCCTCTATACGCCATGGATTCGAAAATCGGGACTATTTTGTGGTCATTCACGACTGGTGCTACTATATATGGGGGAGTCTCAGCAAGCTATGGCTGCATTTACCTTGGTAATGGATATACAGTTGGTCCGGGAACTTTCCACCCATCTTGGACTCCAGGAACTTCACTCTATGTCTTCTGCATTGCATGAAGAGATTGTTGCGTCCGCCAAAACTTTTATCAAATTTTAGATCCTAAAAGATGTGGCACATAGTCAAACGTTTTGCTACGTGTTTTGGTGGATGAAACATTGTTGTTGTATCAAAGACTTGACCTTAGGACACGTTTGTTAGCTGACTAGGTGTGCCACTGAGTAGTCTTCTGAAGATTTGCTCAGTGTGTCCTTCAATAAATGTTTTGAGCGTCTTTGCAATTTTTCAAGGATAAAACACATTGACTTATCGAAAAAGAAGACTCGACATTTTGGAAGTAACTGAAGATTGAAAGAAGAATTTTTTGGATTGTATCATATAGGCCTTGCAAGAAATAAAATTTTTACTTGTGTTAGTTTCTGAGAATTGTTGGGGAAAGCTGAAAACATCCTTGACTCAAGTGAATCTGGTCAAAACTGCCTTTGATTTCAGCAACATAGTATTGTTTGGCTTCGAGTAAAGTAACATCCCTAAACATGTATTGATGTACTAGAACAGCTAATGCTCCCATGTTGATGCGATGTATTCCCCCAGTTGTTGCTCTTCTGTTAACTTGAACAGGAATTACAAATTCTCCATTAGAGAAGCCAAAAAGTGTGAGCGCCTAGAGTGAGCCCCTACCAATCTTTTGGAGAGAAGATATCTTTAACTTGTCCACGATTGAAGGCAATGTTGAATTTATTTCTACCATGCAAGAAGGGAAACAAAAATTAATTTTAAAAGAAACCAAAAAAAAAAAAAAAGAAAGTAAAGATTACTTCATATTCAAAAATTGGCTCAAACCGGTACACATTTTGGGCTTAAACTTTTAGGTCAAGTTTGAGTTCAACTGAACATTAATGCTTTACCAACTGCTCCTTCCTACACTAACAATCAAGAAAAATATCATTCTTATGTGAGTGGGAGTGTTGGAGTTCCAAAGCAAAAAAAAAAAATCTGTCACATCGGAAAGAACTAAAAACGTAGATGACTTCAAATAAAAAGATTGCACTAAAAAAAGTATATTACTTCAAAATTACTCCCTCAAACTTAGCGGCTCCCCAAAACTGGATTAGAGCATGTCCCTAAAGAGACAAAAGTGGTTAACCTTTAAAAGATGTGAGAAGGGATTAAACTTAAAATTTTTAAATTTTCAAAAGTAAGACTTATCTATTAAATCACTCATAAAAATTTAATAGCGAGTTTGACCTTTAAATTTTGGTCAAAGTTGAGACCAGATTCCAAACAGTGCCACTGATCTTGGTTAGTCATCTACCCAATTCAACTAGAAAGAGCAGTAGCTTTAGGGCTGTGAAACATATAGAACCCTAATGCTATAAAATAGATACACTAAAATGTGAGGAATTTTCAACCTATTATACACTAAATAATGTCAGGTGGCACCCAGAGTTCCCCCAAACACTTCAGTGGGATAGGATTAACCTTTACTCTAAAAAGAGCATCTCAAGATAATCCCAGTGAAGTGGTCGGGAGAACTCCAGGGGAGACCTGACGCTCTCTCTCTCTCTCTCTCCCTTCTTACTTCCTTGGCAAAATAATACACATCAAACCACCTATTTATAGCAACTTGATAAGTTCATGGTATTGTATACATTTGGACATGCAGGACCTCGTTTGGGAGGAAAGAAACCAGGGTAAGTACATTTGGAGAGCTTGAACCTGGCCGGGATTTTGGGTCGGATGATAAATAAGGAATAATATGGAGGCCAGTGACCACAAATTTGCCCTCTGCCAATCTGTGTTATCTCGCTTTCCAACTTTTTCTTTGAAATATGCTCTTTTTTTGAAGCAACGAGATCTTTTACGGGTATAAAAAGATCATATATACACAGTCTTATTCTTACGCTCAAAAGAACTATAACATTAAAAACTATATTACTTATGTGAAGGACGTGTTTATAATAACTAAGTGCATGAGGTCAAGCACTCTCATATAGGATATGGGTAAATGCAGTAGAAATATTTTATTTTATTGTTTTTGCTATTTAAAAAGTTGGAAAGGCGCCCCCAAGATAGTGTTTTCTAGGCATGACTTAAGAATTCTTACTCGCTACATAATGTTTAATTTAAGTCATAGTTATTAAACTGAAAATGGTCGAACTCGTCACTATATCCCCACCGAGACGCAGATGAACATTCAATCCCTTCTCAATAGCATCTAGTTCACACAACTTCTACCGCAAGCAGATTCAAACAAAAATGTGGATTGGTATGAAGTTGACGAGACTGTAAAGGATACAACAGAAAAAAGGTGGAATGGTGAGGCGCCGACTGACTTACTTTCTCTACCATGCATCTACCCTGCGGTCACGTCTAGGTTCAGTCTTCACTGCTTTAAGATTCAATACCCACAGCTTTATGGACTGAACAATCTCCAAATATCCTTTGGTGAAGAAAGCTTGAAATACTTTACGCATTATCAAGTCGTACAGCCTTAGTTCAAAACGGACAATGTAGTTAAGCCTTTGCATTCACATCCAACCGAAAGATGGATGGGGTCGGATGGTAGCAACTAGCGTGGTAGATTGTGGTAACTCGGACCCATCCCATTAATTCATTTAATAAAGTGTGTGTGTGTGAAGTGTTTGAGAAATGTCAAATTTTATATAATTCTAAATCAAAATAAATAATATTAAATGCTGCTTGATATTACGTATGTAGAAACTAATGTACGCATTACGACACTATAAATAGTGGCATTGGCACATAGGTCGGCATGGCTTCCCCAAGCAATTGAAGCAAGACATCAAGTCAGATTTCCCCTAGAGTTCCCTTGACCACTTCACTCGGTACTCATTGTTAGTAAAAAAGCATTGTTATCCACTGAAGTGTTTGGGGGAACTCCTGGGGTTATTTTTTTTTTCGGAAAGTAAAGTAGAGATGTATTGCATATCAAAAGAGATCCCCATGGTATTACAAAGTATGATAAACAAATATGTGAGAGGTGTCACCTCAGACATATTTGTCAAAAGAAAGTTTCCATATGAAACGAATGATGAAATTGGAAAGTTACACAAAACAGTTGCTTAAGAGTTGCAGTTTTTCAGAAGTGGCGAGATTCAGCCGAGAGCTTTTGAATTTCAGAGATACGAGTCTCTCCCTTACAGTTTGGAACATGACTTTGAAAATAGTGCTTGGGTCCTTTGCCTTGTTAGCGAAAATTCTGGTGTTTCTTTCCATCCATAGATAGTAGAAAGCAGCTGAGAGACATAGCTTTTGAAGGACTGTGAATAATGACTTCCCTTTCCAGTGAAGTGCAGCCCATGAGACAAAATTAGTCCAAGGCATGCATTGCCAAGAAAAGTTAAAGTGTTGGGTGAGTAAACTCCAAACTCTCTAATAGTATTGGCACTCAAAGAACAAGTGAAAATGAGACTCAATACCTTCACCACATAACACACACTCCAGGTCATGGTGAGGGGCATAAACATGAATTTTGTCATTTGTTTTGAGCCTAAGGATGAAACTTAGTCTGGGAACAGATTGACTATAGCGTACAAGTCCATGCTAAGGGACCACCTCTGCCTTTGTTCTAAGATGTTCCCATGCAGTTTTTGAAGAAAAGGAACCATTGGAGGTGACGGACCACTTGACTTTGTCAAGAGTATTCTGGTTTGGCAAATAAAGGGGCATGGAGTTTGAAATTTCCAAAGCTTCCCCTGATGGATGTGGTGGCCATTTCCATTGATTGTTATGAATGATGGTGCTGACTTTTGTTGCTCTTGAGGTGTTTATTGACTGGAGGATGCTTTGGTCATATCTCTGAAGCAAAGGCCCCAATGGATGCCAATTGTCAAGCCAAAGAAATGTGTCCTTTCCATTCCCAATTTTGTGGAGGAGAAAAGGTTTGAAGGCTTCCCTCATCTTAAGCAAATTAAGCCAATTCCATGAGCAGCATTGAGGAGTCTTGACACCCCAGAGAGATTTTCCTTTTAAATGAAAAATGTGGATCCACTTGACCTAGAGGTTGTGTTTATCATGGAACAACTTGCATAGATGTTTGAAGAAGATGGCTGTATTCCATTCTTTGAGCCTTCTGATTCCTAGTCCTTCTTCCTTCTTTGGGAGGCATACATCATGCCAAGAGACTTTAGCAGCGGAGGTTCTCAAATCTGTGCCTAACCATAAGAAGGCTCTCCTTATCTGCTCCATCTTATCACAAGTTTGCTGTAGTATTGCCAAATATGAGGCCCAAAAGATTTGAATGCTGCTGAGTACTAATGTTATAAGTTGAAGTCTACCTGTGATGAGTGGGATGCCAAGGTATGTGATGGGCATTGAGTATTGGGGTTATTTGATAAATTATAAAGAGTACAAAGAGAAGGCGAATTTTGGCGTAATGGTAAGGTTATTCCATTGTGACTTATAGATCACTTGTTCTAGTCGTAAAAATAAAATCATGGCTTGCACAAGGTTACATATATCTAATCCTCAACAGACCACACAGTGACGAGAGTCTCTTGTATTAGATACGCTTTTTTTATGAACAGTGTGAGAGCTGGTGATATTACTATCAATTCCTCATATGTCAATATTGCAGGCAAATTTGAACTCATAGATTTGGGTTCTAGTTGAAAACTTGCAAGTCTTTCTTTTAAATTGGTGAAAATTAGAAGTGAGTCCTCCAAGATGTACTTGTTTGGAGATAAGGAAATTTATAAAGGACTAAATTCATATTTAAAATTATATATAATGACTTAAGTCCACATTTTTTTTATCTCCAAAATACTCTTCCTTAAAAGAATGTTAATCTTTTATCTCTCATATCTATCCATATCCGTATATAAGTTAAGAGTTTGACTAATATTAAAATTTTCCCCCTCTTATCTATCTATATCCATATATAGTTTAGGTGTGTGTGTGTGTGTATATATATATATATATTAAAAAAAATTGTAACATTCAAATACAAAAAAAAAATTACAATGAATTTGAATAGTAAAATTCAAATTCATGTTACTACTTTTTTATTATGTTATTGTTCATATTACTGTTTTTA